ATACATTTAAATCATTCATCACTCCTTCCTTATCTATCTATGGATAAGTTGCGCTAAACTGTTTATAGCATTTATAGAATTGACACTCACATTAAGCTACAGTTTTTTTAATTGTGAAACATCTTCTCCACAATAGCAAAAGTTTACATGATCTTGTATCACTCTCTCTAACAAGTCACAATATAAAGTGACAGGACAAAGCTGTAAAAAACAAAAACAGAAAGCCAATAGTCTAATTTTATATAGTATTTCCCCCCCTTATCTTGTCATTAAAGAGCTCCACAGCACTAACTGGCAGTGGTGTTAATAGTCATTTGTTCAGTTTTTTATTGTGTGCTTTGCACAAATGCTGCCGGCAAATGTGAGCAGAATGTGTTGAGTTGGAGCCAATAAATTATAAATATTTAACATTTATTACTGCAACTAAAAAAAGAAGAAAAAGGGAGAGAGGGAGAAAAAGGCTTCACTGGCAGTTTATTGGCTTCACCATTACAAAGAAGAGAAATGCATTCACAGCCTGTTACCCATCCCATTTTATTTCATTGAAAAATCAATGAGGTATTTATGCTGCTTCAGATGCTTAAAGGGCATAAGAAACAATCACACCACGGCAATGTGTAGTTAACGCTCCTGAAGAGACAAGTCAGTTGCCACACATGCTAATGAGGTACAGCTGAAAGTGATCAGCTGGTCTCCGGGTACGGCAGAGCAACTCACAACTGGTTCAGGAGATCCACTCTTTTCTATTAAATAGTAATATAAACACTGTTTTGTATTTTTGTTGCACCTTGCTTTTAGAGGAACATCTTTCATTCAAGATGAAAAAAATGTGGTGGGCTTTAGTTTGTGCTGCAGACACAGATTCAAACATGGGTGTAGAGATGGTGTCTGTAAGCTGATGTATATTTGTGCTCAGGTCAGGGAAAGAAAGAAATATTTTTTTCCCTTTTCCCAAAGATAAGTGAAGTTTTCACACTGTGGATGATGTGAATAATGTTGGACTGTACCTGTGAGGTAGGGCTGGGAGCTGCTGGCTTTGTGGCTGGGGCTGCTGAAGGGCCGGGGTGACCCGGGGTAACTGTCCTGAGACTTTGGGCTGCGACCTCCCAGACATCTCACCTCGCTGTCTGTCCCGTTCACCATCTCTATGAACTGTCTCACCCTGGGGAAAGATGGAAAGAGGTGAGGAAAGATTAAAAGGGGGGAAAACAGAAGGGTTAGGAAGGATGGTATGAAAATAAAGAGGTGGAATAAGGTGAAAAAGCACACAGAGCAACAACAGATGGAAATAGAGGAAATAAAGAAAGGGATGTAAAGACAGGAGGACAAATTTAAAAAAAGTACTTAACTTGGTATTTAAGTATAGAGCTACATATGTGAAAGAGAGTAGTCGTTCAGCTTAGAGAATTAAAAAAGGGGCAGAATGTTTGATTCCATCCAAGTTGGGCAGTGAGCGAAGCCATTTTCAAAGCAATGCAGGAAATCTTATCGTATCTTAAGGGATATCTTATCCCCTTTCCTTTAAATATAATTATTGAATAACTCACTGTCTATAGTGAGGCTGTGTGAGGGTGCGTGACAGATAAAAGGGTTTAGATTATGGCTTTGTTAACTTTTCCAATAATGTTATCCATCTAAATAAAACAAATAAAACAAGTGTAACATGTAAAACATACATTTTATATACAACCATGTTCTTACTTGAGCATGAAGAGAAGGTCTGGGTTCCTCTCCAAGAGGTTGGGGTACAGCTGCTGGGTGGTCTCAATGGCTTCACCCATTCTACCCGACAACACCAGCTTCTGGATCTCTACAAACCAACAGTGAAATCACACATGAAGGTTTTGAATGCTACCGTTAACAACCTCCACCTCCAGTAAGAAGGGAGGGTCATCCCAACATCTTTTTTATGATGGGCTCCATTAGCTTAACTCTGCCTGTAGTTGCACTCAGATTGTTGCATCTTTGAAAAAAACAAAACAAAAAAGAAAAGCCCTATAACGACCCAATGTTACTGTGTCACTTCTCCCTTATGGTTTCTGATCATCAGGCTCCTGTTCAAGTACAGTTTGTATGGGGAAAATGTGTATATCATATACACTGATGTTTAAATTCAAGAACTGTATACTGTAGAGTATTAGAAATCAACATATGCTGGCTGACTGTGTCTCGCAGAGAGAAACCATACCAACCACTTTGTTTCCTTTATGATTTTTAAATCTACAAAAACAGCACAGTGTCAACTTTAAAAATGGGGAGTAAGAAATAGATATAGAAATATAGGAGCACTCACTCTGCCGGTTTTTGATGGAGGCCAGCTCCTCATGCACGGCCTGATCGGTGGATTTGGCGAAGGCTTCAGCTGTGGCACAATAGCTGTGGTGCACCAGGTAAGAAGCCACCATCCTGATGAGACAACAAAAACCAAAATACACTGATCAGACAAAGCAGAAGCAGATTTTCTACAATAACACTGCTTTTATTGTTTTTATTGCTTTCATTATTTGTTAATGTTGCCTCAGCAGAAGTAACATTAATTGAACTTTTCTGTCAGGACAGAAAAAAAACGGGTTCGACTGAGTTGATTTTGAACAGGGATGCACCACAACAAGTGAGATAAAGCAGGTTTTATTTTTGGCCTGATTACTGCTTGTATTTCAGAACTTGGACCACAGCAATAGCACAACAGAGTCTGCTGTCAGTCTGAAGCTGAAACAGCTACTATATACAAAACTAAAGTTGAGTTTGTTTTGTTGTTTTCACTGTCAAGACACAACTTCAACTCTACGCTGGTCTCATTTGTGTAGCTTTCTCTGATCCGTTCTTTCTATCATGTCACAATTTTGCTCACCAAGTTAATAACTCAGCCTAGGAAATAAAATGATCCTTTTGTGGTAAAGTCACAATCAGTCACAATCCCTCACTGCGCAGGAAAACTGTGGGCTGTGGGCACACCATTGTGGTAAGGGTGAGGGGAGGGTGTCAAGTTAAAACAGGAAGTCTGTCTGTACACTGTGCCTCGCAAATGAAAGTCAGTTCATATTTCTTTTCTTTTCACTTCCGAGTGTGTTCAGCTGTTGGCCTTTCCGCTTTCTTCATCTGATCACTCTTTACTTCTCTAATGTCCACAAACCTGAAAGACTAACTTGAAATTACAAACACTTAAGTCTTATTAGCCAGAATGACCCTTTAAAGGTAACCCGCTATGTTTTTCTTATTGTCCATCAGATATAAATTTGTTACAATGATCAGTGCTCATTTTAAACATGGACAATATTTTAAATGAGGTCAGTGTATGCCCAATAAATCCCTGTGAGGCATAAGCTCAGGATTCAGACTGCTCTGAATGCTTCGTTTCGGACAGTTCTTTTTAAAATTATTAATTCTTAGCTCTGTCAAAAAAAAAAAAAAGGGGGGGGGGGGACATCCTTATGTGCTCATCTGAGGCACAGAAGCCACGCTCAGCTACTGCTCAAATTCTGTTTATCCAGGGCAGACAATAGAAAGTTCCCAGGTGCTACTGCAAGGACCAGGATAATATACATAAGGATTATTTTGAAATTTGAATAATGCAAAGCTACTCTGGCAGAGTTCAAGAATAAAAATATGCAGATGAATATGAGCATGGTATGTTTTTTGAGTGTATGTGTCTGACTTTTCATTAATCAAATTAGAGGCACGGCTAAACCCAAACACCCCATTACTATGTCGATGACGAGTTCCCTCAGTGCAGCAGAGCTAAACCAAACTTCATGCTTCAGGCCGTTATATGACGAGACAATGCCACTCTCACCGGCTGATCATCATGCTACCATTGTTCCACAGAGACAATACACTGCACTGGTGTAAGATCAGAAACTTCTTGGTTCTATTCCTGCCTGTGAGGCGACATCTGGATAAAGGCAATAAGTCCCTTTATTCACTCCCACCCCCAACTCCAATCCCCATCAAATGGAGTTTAAATGCATTCAGGACAAGTAATCATAGCAACAGAGAGCTAATCCTGCCAGGCCACAGCTTGAAGGGAAACCAAGCCCTGCATCTTTCCCTTCTGAATCACAGCTCCAGCTCTTCGATGAGGAACAATCCATCGGGGCCTTGATGCTCTTCATGTTAGTAGTAGTCCTGTCACCTACAGCATCCTTCTAAGACTTTTTCATTTAGCCAATACAAGATGAACACTGTTCAGTCTACAATAACTGATCAAAAGCTCTGGATCCAACATGAATGTAAATTTCTGGTCAGCTGTCTCCTGTTCACGTAAGCATGAATTAGTAAATGATTGTACTGCTAAAACAGTCAGATAACAAGCCTGAGTGTGTGTCTGTGTGACATGAACACTGTGTGAGACCTACTGCAGTCACCATAACTCTGTCAGTAGATAAGCAGTTAACTGCGACTATACAACTTGTAAAACACACACTTTCACACCCATTTGAACCAAGAGGAACTTTATACTTAGAACAAGTAATTCATGCACCCACACCAACATCGCTAGCTGAACAGGAAAACAGAAGTAAGAGTTGTTTTATGTTACAACCTTTATTTATTTATTTATTTATTAACTTTATCTGTGAAACAACAGTGTGTAACAGTGTGTGTTTAAGTGCATAAAAATAGCCAGTACTTAGACCCTGCAAAGGCATTAACTTAGGAGAAGCAGGCAGCTGGTTTTATGCAGAAGAATACCTTGAGGTCACAAAGTCAAATACTCCCTTTTCCTCCATCTGGTCAATATGCCGCTGGTACTACTGAAACAACCAGCACTTTCAACCATTTATGGTCTAGTTAAAATCCAATCAGCTGTGAAATGTGGAGTAATGTTGGTAATAACTCTCCGTATGGCTTTCCATGTCTGCTACAACTAGCTCTGCCACATTACATCAAGCAGTTAAGCAGAAGTGAGAGTTTAAGTGCCAAATATGATGTCAAATCTGTACATAAATGTACTTAACCATGAAAGTCCTTTAATCCACACATTCATAAGCATGTATGGATTTTAATAAGCAAACCAGTAAGATTGTGCTAAACAAAATGGTCTTTATTTCAGTGGGCTATAAAATCATCACTTGTATCAGATATTAAATTTGTTGATTAAGACTTGCTATTCTGTATCCTGATAAAATTGTTAAATTTGCAGATAAAATTTGAGATTTGACAATCGTGTACAACAAAGAAACTGAACATTATAACACTGTTCCTCATGAGCCTTAAATAGGTCAGGTTAGTCCCCTTTTGCTCTAATGTGTGGAAGATGTCAGGAACATTCAGCATGGCTCACTCACACGTTAGGAGCCAAGTGGTGGTAACATCACATGGATAAAGCTTTGGTATAGGAAACATATCCACAGATTAACTTTTCACTTCTCCTACTTGTACTTAAACTTCTGAAATCATAATAGGGACATCTATTTGGAGACCATCTGGCTGAAAAAATACAAAATACAAAATAAAAAAATAAAATAAAAAACAGCTTTTTAAAAATGGACATATCAAAATCTTTCATTTCCTGCAAAGTTCGTTTTCCACAATTTTCGCAGCTATTTTTTTTTCCTGAGGGAAGCAGACTGAAGTCAATTTCTAGGTTATTCTTAACCTAAGAAGTCATCCTCGTGGCACCTTATCACTGGGCAGACATAAGTGAACAAAGCATGGCAAGTCTAATATTCCACAGTTAAAAATAAATAAATAAATGCACTTAGCTTAAACTACATGCAAATAATTTGAGCCTTCTAACTCTCTTACTTCTGGATCATGGACTGCCACTCGCCCTCGCGCTCTCCGATGGGGAAGCGGTCAATCTGGGCCTGAATTTTTGTCCTCCATTCTCTCATGTAGTCTTCAATGTCAAACACGAATGGGTGCTGCCCGAAGTTTGCATCCACCACCTCCCCTGGAGTCTGAAGGCCCACGGTCGGGTACAAGTTAGGCTGCAGCAATAAAGAGAGGTAAGAGTGATAGAGGAAACGGAGTCTGGAATGCAATCTGGACAATTAATCAAAACAGGAAGAAACAATGAAGGGTAAAAACAGGAAAACGGAAAATCTCAGGAAATAAGCTTTTGTCTGCAATTACGCCTTAAAATGTGATTTTAGTAGCTGACAAAGCTCATACGTGGTAGGATGCTGACAGTGCATCTTCTGAACAGAGAGCTCAGCCTGTTTTCACAGCGTCGTTTAAAAAAAAAAAAAAAAAAAAAGGGGGGGGGGCCTTATCGCACTCACTGACCATAATATGACTATCAGCTGATTGCTGAACTGACTTCATCAGAATTGATGACACTTCCAAATACTTGACTTTTGATTAATTTTGCTTCATAGACAGAACTAAAAAAAATGTTCTGTCAGTCAACAACCCAGCAAAGATCTTTTTGATTATTGTGCATTTCACTTCATTTTATGATTTTTTTATTTTTTTATTTTAGTTTGTCCTCCAATACATTACTAGTACTTCATAGTCCTGTTTATTGACTCTGTCCTACGTACTGCACTCAGCCTAGAGCAAATTAATTTCAACTGAAGACATAAATAATAAAGGAATACTGGTGGGTACTCTTTGTCTTACAATTTGAAGCATATTGAACTGTGAAGGGGAACAATTAATATGATTTAATTATAATATAACTGTGTTCGGTCATTGAAAGGTTGCTGTGTTTATTTTCTGCCGATCATCTTTGACTGCTGTTCAATACTCATTTGATGCTATGGAGCATATCTTATGGCAACATCTACCGATATACTACCCAAACTAAACAGCAGTTCTCATTTTCTTTTTCAGCTTATTCCTGTTGTTACCTGTAACTTCATTAAAAACCTCATTTGTTTTTCAGACCAAGGAAACAGCAATCCCACGTGCTAACAGTGCAGCTCCCTAATACACAGTTTTGGAAAACTACTGATGTTAAACAAGGAGGACTCTACACTCCAACATGACATAATCCAAATTGTTGTATGATTTCTGATTATGATTTAATGAGCAACAGCACTATACATGAGTACTGGTGAATAAAAAGTAAAAAGTACGGGAGCACTGAAAGCAATGAAGCTCAATTACCACAGCCAAAGCCTTTCCAGAAACAAGTCTCACTCAGCTGGCATTTTAAAATGTCTCCGGGCACTTATTTTGAAGCAGCACCAGAGTTAAATTTCACTTATCACACAGCCATAAAAACTGCAAGTACAGAATCTGTGATAAAAAGCCACTGAAAGGTTTGCTGACTTTGGAACAAAAACTGTTTTAAAAAGTTTTTTTTATTTTTTAAATATAAATCCCTGATTTGACAGACCGTAATCAGACAGAGCTAAATGAAAAACACTTAAGATTTGCATATCTGGATGCATTGTTCTACTATTCTACCAATCACCAGAGCTCTGGTTTAATCAGAGGCAGTGGTGACTGGTGGCAAGGCACATTCACTGTGTTGTGTTTGGATCGCTGCAAGTGTCCTTAAAATAAATTAATACCGAAATACCAAAATGTAAAAAAAAAAGAAGAACAAAAAAGACAAACAACAAAAACTTTACAAAACACTAAACTTTTTTAGAGTTCGATTTAGGCTAGGAGTTGGGAATAACACCGCTGATAACAGCCCACATAAGAACAACAGTACAAAGCTGTGTGTGTCTCTCACAGTTGTCTTTGTCATGGTTCAATAACCAGAAAGGTCAGCTGCGTCGAGGTGACGCACTTCACTGCACAGCTCTGGAGGAACATGAATGTCTGGCTCACGTCCAAGTCTGTTTGGCTGCTCAATGGATTATTGTTTTAGCTAAGACTCTTATTTTTCTTCTTCAATAACAGCCGGCACCCGTTTTCATTTGCTACCAACCAAAGCAACAAGTGTCTCCCTAAACATCCCAACTTTGGTAACGTATGCATGAATCCCACTGGAATCAAGACCCAGTGGGTGTGGGAGTCGTTCACATAACGAAGAATAGGAGCTGACCGTGTCGCCTTGTTAAGAAACAAAGGAGTACTCAAAACTCTGGTTCCATTTGAAAAAGTGGGCCATTATTCTCAAGTCTAGCTCCATACTCTTGGACGTTCTTGGTGCAGCTCCTTAGCTCCTTAGGCAAAACAAACAAAACAAAAGCAACAAAACATTTTAGCTCCTCCCCCTTTGGGGCAAACCATTTGTGGTTCGCTGCTGCTTACAAACAGAAGTTTTAAACAGCAGGAGGTTGGGGCTTCTGTGCTCACAGCTGTGTGCCTGAGATGGCAATATTACAGTTATCTCCTCTGTCTGACACAATACACAGCAAATCGTAGAAAGAAAAAAACCCCTTTAAAACAAAAAAGAAGCATGAGCATTTGGCTCATACACTGTAAATAGTTTTTAAACTTTCAAGCTGTTTTCCCCACTAAATGAAAGTGGAAAATGTGTCAGCATGACTCTGATGGAAGATCTGGATCAAACAGCAAGTTTACAGCAGCTTAAAAGAAACTTTTTTTTTTTTTTTTTTTATAAATACTTTCTTCGGACATTTATTAAGCAGCTACTTTGAAGCATTATCAAATTAACTGTCACCAGGAGTGAACTCTGTGAGGGAAAAAAAAAAAACAACAAAAACACAGCTTATAAAGTTTGCTGACTTTGTTTTAAAAAGCTTCTTTCTACTTTGAGAGTCGTCCCTGAGATTTAAATTTAGGAGTCTTCAGTTTAATTTTTTTGGTCCAGCCAATAAAACAATTAGATAATGAAATCAGTGCCACATAAGAAGCATTTTATACACAGTAAAGATATTCCTGCTAATATCAATTTATATAATTTTTTAAAAACTGTGCTTTGTTTTGCCGTTTTTCAATTTTTCTATGTTCTACTTTTCTCCCCCACATTTCAAGGCTTACAACCTGCACTAGATGCTTTACTAATGCAACTCTGTTCATCCATTTGTGGAAAAAAAATGAAACCATAGTACAAAAAGTGTTATATAAAGCAGTTTACTGTGTCAAATACCTGACAACTTTGAGTTAAAGCCTCCTAATAAATGTGAACCTCTGAACTTCATAACGTAAATACAGAAAGTACACTTCATTTGCTTTAAACACATAATAAATTCTTAATAGAGAACACTCAAGTGTCTGTTTATGGTTGGATAAAGCCAAAGAAACTTTAGCCAAAGGTTACACAGACACCACAATCACTACAGATGTGACAGAAGAAGAAAGGCCTTCCAGTTTGACAGTGTTTGAGAAAAGCTGACGGTGTGTTCGGAGCTCCCGAGTTTTCCAGCCTCTAATCCATTTTGCATGATTAAACATTTTGACTGCAGTGGACATTCTGCAGGAAATGACACATTTAATTTCCATAAATAGCATCATCTCCTACAGCTGTGCTAATTATGGAAAAGACTACTTTACAACAAAGAGTGAAGAAAATCTCAGTACTTACTGGTAGGTCTGTGAAGGCAATACCTGCAGAGGAAGAGAGAAACAGTCAGCATGAAAAACAAGAGTACTTTCCATTTCTGCACACAGCGTGAGGCCACAGTTCGTGTGTTTACATGTGCTGAGGTAATCTGGTTACTGTCATCTTGCTGCGGTTCATAAATGTCACATAAGCGAGAAAGACTGTCTCCCCAACAGATTTAACTGTGAACCCGGTCTTCTAATCATGAAGGAAATTATCACTAAAGCATTATCTAAAAAATACAAATTTGATGTAATTTTTAAATTATACAAAGTATTGCAAAGCCTTCACATTAAAAGCTTTTTGACAGATTTGCTGGATGCTTATATTATGAAGAACATACATACATATAAATATATGTTTACATTGCTTTTACTATCGAGCTTTGTAACATTTCTTTGCTGTGCAGTAAAGTAGAAAAAATAATTTAAAACAAAAAAAGAGCAAAAAACATCAGAGACATTTAATTAACAAAGAATGATTATTTAAAACAACAACAACAACAACAAGACAATTCATAGAAACATGCAAAACTTTAAAAAAAAAAGCAATATATCACAAGCTGGACTTGCTGCAGTGGCCTCTTGTTTTGTGTTTGGCTCAGTAACAACTTCTGTGAAACTATTACAGCCGTGTTTGTAGAATGAGCTTACATCATGGCAAAGTTTCTCCTCAGAAAATATTAAATTTTCCAATCCCTTTGTGAGAAATAAATAACTACACAAATGTAATCAAAGTTCCTTTGGAAGTCTCCAACTACAAAGCTTTGGTGAGCGTGGTATAAAAGGGACATAAGTGAGCCAATCCTCCATCTACCGCAGCTTCTGGTCAGAGTAACCATCCAGCTTACAGTAGCGCGACAGGACAGAAGCAAGACTACTTTCAAAAGCTGCAGTTCAAGGTGCTGCAGGCTGAGATCCTTTTGGGGAAGGAGGGGAATAATATTACAGTCCAACAAAAACCTGGCCAGTGAGCCAGCCATTAGGGGAAAGATAAGACAGGAAGAGCTGGAGCTAACTGGTTAGCAGCACTTGAACTTTCAAAACACAAGTGGGCAAGCAGTGGGAAAAATATAGTGGACAAGCGCGATTGCCAACTATTTATTTAAAAAAAACAAAACTGTTACTCATCTCTCTCTTATTGAGAGAAATGTCATCTCTGTTTAAACATTGATAAAAAATATATTGGAAACACTGCAGTCCTTCTGCAACTTAATACACAGACCACTGCATGGCAGCATTATTGGGTATTATTTTCTGTACCTAGGCTGTGGCCATTCTTTGTGTAGAAGCAGGTGTTGTTGATGAGGTTAACACAGCAGCCAATCACATCGCCTGTTGTAAACGTGGGTCCATAAGGTTGCCCGGTGCCAGACGAGCAGAAGGAGTGGCCGTCATCTCCATGGTAACCATAAGAGTGCTTGTCCCAACCTGCAGCGATGCAAATGAAAAGTGTGAGAACATGAGGTGAAAAAGTGTTAAAACGCAGCAATTGTTAGAATCTCAGACTCAACACAGAAACACAGAGACAAACTCTGACAGACACACACAGCCCATAGGAGGGCTGAATGATAATGGTCAGTCTCACAATATGAATATTCCTACAAACCCACATTAAAAGGTACAGTGCTGTAAAATAATGATATACTTTGCAGCTGATTAGTCACACAGAGAAACTTATGGTTGAACACAGTTGTGGGTTAGTTATAGGCAAAGCCTATACACAACTTTACACACACCTCCTCACATGTTGTAGCTTTTACCTGTCACCAAGGGCCAGCGTTACAAACAGTGAGCTCCTCCTACATGTGCTACATGTCAGTATTTATTTACTTATTTATTTGTTTTTAGAAAACCTAAAGCAATACGTAAGTTTAAATTACTCAGCTCTAGGGTCAGAAGTACAATGTGGCCCCTATAAGTATTGTAAATATGACTGAACTAGAAGCATACTGGCACTGATGACACGGGAGATCAAAAAACACAACATAATGTTTTCAAAATTTGTTTTGTGACAAATCACACCAAAAGCTACGCTACTGAGGAGGACAACAGTGCTGTGAGCAGGCCGCCAAAATGGTTCGAACGCAGTGTGATTAAACCGGAGAGGCAGCGTCAAAACCTTTATGAAGTAATCTTGCCACTCAGCAGCAATCTTAAAATCCCTCTGGGAACATATTTACGAAGTGTTATTTAAATTACACTTCAATATTAATGGTCACACGTGTAGAATCATCAGTAAAGTCTGATTTAAATACATGCCCTAAAATATGGTCATAAAAGGATTTTCATCTTTGCTTTGGCAGCGTTCTCCCAGATTTCAAGTGGGATTCTCTGAGTGCTGACTCTTTTCTTTTTTAATCTAATTATTAGATTTCCTCAAATAAGACATGAAATAAAAGCTGTCAAACAACAAAATAGCTGGACCAAGATGTTTCGTATCTGCTGAAAGTTAAACCCAACTCTAACATTTGTGAGTATTTACAGACATTTCCCTATCAAACTTTATTAGGCCAGAAATTCGCATGTTAAGTCTAAAAATAGACATGTGACGTCATAATTCCAACGCTTCAGTAAACGCTGGTGTAATATCATGACCTGGATCAAGAATCACACAGTGCTGAGAGCAGTAGAGCTGAAATATCCTCACTTAAAACAGAAAAAAGGCAGATGTATGTGTCCACACCTTCACCCACAGCCCTGTACCGTGAGCCAGCAAGCACAAACCTGCAAGATTCAATGCCTTGCTCAAGGACACTATGAGAACTGAACCTGGGGAATCCATACTCTCAATCAGTGGAACAGCTTGCTGTTGCTTTCATGCTGACTGCAGAAAGACATAGCTCATTCAGTTTCTTCCAGAAAACTGGATGTACTCCCAGAATTGGGAGATTTTTGTGTGGCATTTTTAACCTTCAATTCTTTGTTTTGTTTAACCTTCTGCAGACTGCAGGCCATTTTTGATGTGATGCCCCTTATTTCACTGAAAATAAATATTTTTTTGTATTGAGCATAAAATGGAAGAAAGAAAATTACTGATGAGCAAAGGTTTAATGTGAACAGAATACCTGTGTGTATTAAAACCTGGAGTACTCTGTGTCTGCCCAGTACTTGTTTCTCAGGGAGACTTAAGGGGATGCAGCCTTTGCTGCAGCACACAGGACTTTGGGGCTGTTTTAACATTAGAAACCATGTGGCAGGATCCAGTGAGTTACTGTCGAGCAGCAGGATTAATCCTGCCGTTTCCACAGTCATCACTGCAGGACAGTACTCAACTCAGCAGCACTCTGGCATCAGTTCTTCACAATTACTGAGTTTTCATTAGCATCTATCCATCAGCTGAGACTGTGCGGTTGGCACTAGGCCTGCTGTTATCTTTGTGTGAAGAGACTGGAGCTCCTGGGTGGGTCCAGCTTTCAAACTGGTGGTGGGGTATCTGGGCTCCTGTTTGGCCTGATAACCTCAGGGGAGCGTAGGGTTGACGTCTGCAACGTCCAATTAATGATGATATTCATGACATTTTATTGTACCATCAACATTCACTACCTCATGTGTTGGTTTCTGACTTCACTAAAACATTGAAGCAGCTCAAAAAAAAATCCAAAACAACAACTTTATTACACCTAGTTGCACAAATGTTTAAAAAAAAGTTCTTGTTCCAACAATCATGGATACGAGTTAATGATTGAGTGCATACACTGAGAATGCTTTTAAGCACAACACTTGTGTAATCAACAGACAACGAAAAAAAAAAAAATACTGGAAAGGAGCATGACAAAGGTCAAACATCACCTTAGGATATACTGATTACACAGTGATAATCTTAAACTTTCCACCCACCAGAGGCCTGTGCTTCGCAGAAAACTGTGAGGTTAGCGAGGGGGGGGCAACATGTCCTCCACAGCCTCACAGGAAAAATATATTTATATAAATAAATAATTACAAATATAAAATAAAAATTTCAGCTACTGATCGTGTTTATTCATAGGCTGGTGTTTATGTTGGTAATGTCTGCTTTTGTATAATTTATGAGCTTTTAAATAATTAGTTAACAGACTTATTTCTTATGACATCCTTTTTGGCAGTTTCATCAAAGTTAAGATGCTTTAGGCCACTATGAGCAAACTAACGAGAAATCTTCATTTAGCCACTTTCGATATGCCGACACAACACCTTGGCCTGAACTATACATAAAAGCTCAGTAGAGTATTCATCCTTGCTCCTCACTCAAGAGCTACACAACACGTTACTGAGATCTCTGGATATAAACCCTTTGGCTTGTCCTGACAGGTATCAATTCTCAACATAGGAACTTGGCTTCAATTTTTCCATGCTGGTTGCAACCAATTTCAATTTTATTTCATTTTTCTATAAGCCTTTGTATAGCAACATAATCCTAAAACAGGTTGACTAAAACGTTAAAGCCTTGTTGACCTTATAGAAGATTTCCCAGTAAGCCTACGTAAGGATCTGAATTGTGTTTTTTATATTACTTGTTTTTCCTTTTCTTTTTTTTTTTCAAACTAACAACCACAATGAACAGACTCAGTCACGGCTCCAACCAGTTTATCCAAATCTAATCTCTAGTAGTTATGTTCAGACAAGATGACACCCACAGAAATCCCAGACATATCTAGTGTAGAATATAACAGATAAAGACACCAAAAGACAGCAGCAACAAATGCACAAAATATGTCAACTTACCAGGGAGTCTGTTCATGTTTACACCCTGAGCTGAGAGGCCGATACCCATGTACCTGTAGGACAGACAGGCGAGAGTTAAGCTGTGTGTTTATGCAGAAAGAGACTGAAGAAGCCATTTTACACATGTAAGCTGAAGTCAATCATACCACAGACAGACATGGCTCATGTCAAGCTACATTCAACACGGTAAACACCAATTTCTCACATACGTAATCTCTTCAAAATGGTGTCTGTCTAATTAGGTTAATGTCATTTATTTTTTAATAATTTAAGTTCATGACAAGGGCTACCATAACATTGTTCAATGAGGGCAAAAGCTAACATTAATGTGGTTATTGATGAGTAACAGAAATTATTACAATTCAATGTCATGGGATTGTAAATGTAGTCACCAGATCTGAAGTTTAAAAAAAAAAAAAGAAAGAAAGAAAGAAAACATAGAACATTTCATTTAGTAATGAAGAGAATGAAGCTGCCACTGATTTATATATCAAGTTTTTTCATTGCATGGCTGATCTATGCAAAAATTGCAAACCCCTACAAATTTGGCATCCTCAAAAAAGGCTATAAACAAAGGAATATTCAACACACACAATGTAATGAAGTTGTTTTTTTTAAATATACACATTTTGTTAACTTAAATGAACATATTATAATTTTGTTTCCCCCAAAAAGATCTACCTTTCCGGTATGAACACCCTCCCCCCCCTCCATTGGCTCATTCTGAGCCAAGAAAACAGATTTAGATGTATTTTTCTGGCACATTTAAAGCCATCATTTACCAAATCCTATTTCTTATATTTGAATTCAAAAATTATTACTTGAAATAATGAAAACAGCAGAATAATCACAAGTTAGTAGAGATGCATGCATTTCTCTCTGATTGTAGTGCTGGAGTGAGAGTAATTGAGATGTAAAGCAAAGCTGCTAGTCCAACTATGTTCTAAAAACCACTTCTGAAAATGTTTTAAACATTTGAACTTCTGAAACACATATTTAGCCTTGTGTGTTCCAAACACCATTATAGAAATTCAGTTAAATGTGAACACTTTTTTACTTATCTGGGGTCAAGCATGACCAACTGGTTACAAACAACCAGGGAATGCCTGATGTCTTACGAATGAACCTGAGGCACTTTGAATATTTTAATCATGTTCATTATTTTGCCGTCTTCTCGTACGAATTTCTAAAATCCTTTTTGATGTAAAGGACATGTGGTACCTAAACATGATGATGTGTGACTTTTAAGATAATGGATATCCAAAGAATTCATTACAGTTTACAGGCTGGAGTCTTGAACAGTTAGAAAATAATTTCCTAAATATTTTTTATGAAATTATTTAGGAAGTTTTACAAAGACGCTCCCAAACATGGCCATTTAGACCCTTTAAGAAATTTAGGCATGACCCAAAGGAGAACAAAAGGAGAATAAAAATGAATTTAAATGGAGGACATAATTTAAATCATTTCTGATTGAACACAAAACAATGTAAGAGGAAAAAAAAAAAAATCAGGACTTTCTAGAGAAGAGAAACTGAACTGCTTTATCTCAACCTCCCACTCTCATAGGACCAAACAACAATTACACTCCACAAGGCAAAACGCTGCAGGATTACGGCTCATGTAAACCCAGATTAGACTTGTCACTTATTTGGACTTTATACTTTCAGCAACTATTCACTTTGTAAAAAAACAACAACAAAAGGTTTATCATTCCCAATGAGAAGTTCATCAGTCATGATAAATGAGTGTCACAGGCATGACTGAGGAAAAACCAAAAAACAACCACAAAACAGAAAAAGCTGTTCTTTCATTTTCTCAACCTCACATGCCTTAGCATTGCTGCATGAGCATTAGTGCACAGCACGAGGGCACTACAAGTTTAATGCCATCCATCCATCCATTCGCTTCCGCTTATCCTTTTCAGGGTCGCGGGGGGCGCTGGAGCCTATCCCAGCTGTCATA